GCTCCCCGTGCCCGGGCACGGTCGTGTTCTCCTCACTCTCAAACCTCTGGGTGTGTTCGCACCTCTGGGCGCTTGGTGTTTTTGCCTTTGTAGTGCATTTGCGTGTGAGTTTGCCCCCACCGATTTCAGACAGCCATTCCTTAGGGAAGGCTCCTTTAAAGGAGGAGTAACCCTCCTTTAAAGCCAGGAGGGTGCACCCAGCTCTCCCGGTGAACTGGCTACTGCACAAGTCGAAATGCGAATTCGGTGGGTTCCCGTACAAACCAGCCCTACAGTGAGGTATTTGAAGCCATGTAAAGCTTTTTACACCTGCCCATCTGAACCCCAGGAAAAGCAGATAAAATTGGTGTGTGGCCATAGGCACAACCTGCCCTGTGAAATGTGGCTGTGTTAAGGTGTGTCCATGAGTGTACAGGTCACTACTAGGGGTGCTGAATTAATAAGTACTGTAGTAGTAATAACTGCACTTGACCAGCCTAAATGAAAATATTTCCCCTGTTTCTTCGAACAGCACACAGGCTGTGATAAGCACTTGTTACTTGAAGATTGTTTTCTAGTTTAGATTAATATATGTAAAGGCAAGTTTCTTGTCCTTTTGTCTTTTCAGCAGAAAGAATTCTGTCATGTTCTGGTTGCTGATACTTACTTGCAGTGGGGGAAATACCTCTCAATAGTTAAAGTACTCCTATGTCTTACAGATTGGATCACTCAAAAACCACTACTTATTCAGACATAAAAAACATCCGAGAAGGTCCCGAAGAAGTGCCATTCACATCACTAAGAGACTTTCTGATGATGAGCGGGTGAGTATTACATTTACTCTCTTTCATGTTGTTTGTTCTTCTTAATGCTAGCTTCATAATGAGGTCACAAGCAGGCTTTCCTCGTTTTGCAAGTCTAATATATTCAGCCATCCATGCCCATGCTGAATAATACTTCACTATTCTATCGTTAGCAGGCAGAATCTGACCCTCCCCTACCCTGTATTTTACAAGAGCTTTCCAAATTAAGATTTAAGATGTGCAGCACTGGAGTTTCAGATGTTGATGTGCCACTGATGAAAACGTGATTGGGGAACCACAGAGCTGGATTGAAAGTAAAAATCCATAGATGCACTAAGTTTAATTAGGCCACGTCTGTGCAATTACCATGTGAATTAGGTTCGATTTAAAGTGACTGAATATTAAGTAAAAAGAGAAGTAGGAAAAAAGGGCTGAGGTTTTGCTGGATTGGCTTCCACAGTAAGCTAAACCCTTTCTGAAAGGATCCATCACATGCTCCAGGCTTGCAGTCTTTTGTTACAGTAGGATCCCACTGCAAGCAGAGAACAGGCAGACTAGAGAGCCAGGGAGGGATTTCAGGTACAATCCACTGGTGAAGCAGTGAACACTCCCCAGTTAGCTGACCTCATTTAAGAGAGAAGCATTTCTGTTTATAAGCATACTGAAAAAATGGGGTGGGTGACAAATTTAAGGAGCAGATCAGAATGCTGTCAAACTCTTCTAAAAATTGTTTACTGGCAAATTTCGGAACAATAAAATTTGATTTTTTTGATCAACATTATTGCAGCATTCATTGTGACACTATGAGCTGTGCAAAACGGGAAGTAACCTGGTTGGGAAAACCAGCTGTTTATCATATAAGGACAAATCACTTGAGAATGAGTAATTTTCTCTCTGGAGGTTTTAGATGCAACTGTCATATAGATGAAAATATTCTGTATGTAGCTGGAAGAGTTAAAGGACATGCCGATCTATCTCCTTGCAAACATTGGTTTAACAATTAAAGTCAAAATCATTCTAACCTGGGAATGTTCAAAACTGCTGCTTCAGTGTTAAGTACTGTTCTAATTTATGTCCATACATATGATCAGATGTCCATTTTGATGTTCAGGAACAGAGTTTTGGTTGCAGTTTCTCCTTTTTCTGGACTTATTACATTGAATAAATCTCTTACACAGGGTAGAATGACAGTGTTCAATACCTCGAATTCTAGTGTAGCAGAATGAAAGTGGTTGTATTACATGCATTGCCACCAGACATTGTTCAGACTTGCGTGCTTAGATCCAGCAGCAGGGTTCCAAAGTGCTGCAGGTGATTTGCTAAATTTACTCCAATTTCCCTTTTATTTACCATCTAGTATGCAAATTAACTCTGTGAATGAATGAGATGTAATTATGCATTATGTAAGTGTATAAACACAAAGCAATCATGTAACGCTGTGCAGTTACACGTGGACCTTTGCTCTAAAGAGCTGCTCTCGTTCAGCAGCAGCCTATTTAG